TCTTCTTGTTCTTAAAAAGACTTATTGTATTGCCTACAAAAAAGCGTCAAATGTACTCTTTTGAAAAAAAACCTCATATTTTAGTTGTTAGGATTTCAATTCGAAAAATTTTAAAAATGTTTTAAGCTAAGACCTAGTACTTCATTATTTCAAAATAAAAACGAGAAAAAAATATTTATTTTACAAACGGGGCTTGGATGAAGTTATTGAAATTTTTCACCGTTTTACATAACACCCTGTAGAAAATTTACTTAAAGAACCCTGACCCTCATACCTATAGGATGAATTGCTAGAGGATGACGCTAGCAGACATTACAGACCAAAATAAAATCGTTTAAGAAACAAAAAAGTTATGTCGTTTTGAAAAAGGACGAACTTTTTGGTCGCGACACATTGAGTGGTTCGCAGTTTATATAGATCTAGTTAGTTATATATGTCTATGGCAGGGCCGGATTTAGGACAGGGCCAGCGGGGCCACGGCCCCAGGGCCCCCACCATTTAGGGGCCTCCACCAATGCAATATTGAAATATGAAACGAATATGAAAAAAATTAGCGAAAAACAAAAAAATGGGTCGGTTTTACCGCGCGAATTCTGTAATTTTCAATTAATTTTTCGTAGATCTAACTCTAATTTTTCGGGGATTTTTTATCGATTATCCCCCAGTCAGCACATGAATGTCCCAAGGACGTCCTACGGATGTCATCCTTGGATGCTCTGGACCTCCCAGGGCTGTCCTACAATTTCCCATGGACCTCCATAGGACGTCCATGGACTTCCAAATGGTGCACTTTTGTATGTCCAGAGACCGTCCCACTGAGGGTCAAAATTGACCTTATATGGATGTAATTGGCCCTTATGTGGATGTTTAAATAAAACCCATAAAATAACTTTATTTTTGTGAAAAAGTAGATACCTAACTGATTAAAATTAAAAAAAAAACTGCTAAAAACTGTAAAATAAATTATTGTACTTATAAATTTGCACTTTCCAATTCGGCCTTTGCAATGTTTGAGCCATGATTTTATCGCCATTTTAACATTTAGAACTTTTTTACTGCAGCTGGAATCATATTATTTTGGTAAAAAAATACATACAAATTGATAAACTTACTGATTACAGCCTGTTAAATACTTAAATTTTGAAAACTTTTCTTTTCATTTCTCTTTCCTTCAAAGTTATTGTGAGGCATCTTTTTACTGCTTCATAGGGTTTCTCCCCTCCAGTATAAGAAGTCCTCCTATAAAAATTGTAAAGTTGGTCGCAAACATTACACATATGCATATTATATAGGTATATTACTTATTCATAAATTAGGGTGGTACTTACCTATAGGTATATGTATACATTTTTATTATTCATTAGAACTAAAAAGCACAGAACTACGAACCGGTGACCGGTATTTTATCAAAAATCACAAAATGGCAAACACGGTGGAGCATCCAGAGTCTCTGATAAAGAAGGCATCTGTTTTGTGCGGTGAGGAAGCAGCGCAACGTTGCCAGGTTGGGCGATTTGAGAACTGCCAATCTGTCTAAAAATTTCAAATTGGCGACAATATGGGCGAATCCAGATATTTTTTTATAAAGACCTTCTTTATTTGCTGCTTTTAACAGTTTCTATTTACTTAATTTGTTTTTATACCCAATCAGTTTTTAAAAAATTGCGCGAATGTTATTTTTACCAATCAGGTTTTATAAAATCTCGTTCATATGTTCTCGTTCCAATATATATTGGATAAAGCTAGTAGATATAAATATTTATCTACATGCCCTAATCTTGGAGACTCTTTGTTGGTAATTCTGACGCCAGTTTGGCAACTTGTAAAAAAAATGGCAACACTGCCAACGCTGTACAGTAAGCAAAATTTAGACGTAATTTTGTTTATTTGACAACCTTCTTTATCTCTGTTTGACATGTTTGATATAAAAATATTAAATATTAGATTCTGCTCAAAAATATATTGATTATAGATTTAGCAAAAAAATGATTTTTGTATTTTTTTTTATTTTCAATGTTTTATATTACATAAATTTTATGTTTTTATACAAATATATTGAATAAGTTTAATCAATTAAATGGAATACAAATCTTATTTTTGCTCCCCAGCAAAAATCAAACATTGTCCTAAACAGATGTTCGGTGGATATCCACAGGATGTCCAACTCGGAACGGCCGAAATAGACTCAATAAGGAGATCCGTGGGAAATCCACAGTATGTCCAAGTCGGAACGTCCCAAATGGACCTAATCAGGAGGTCCATGGGAAGTCATGTGCTATCTACTTTGAGTGTGATAGTTTACATCCTGATTTGCAAACGGCCGTTTGCAAATCAGGATGTAAACTATCACACTCAAAGTTTTGGCGCTCGAAGACGTTTTTATGTAGTCTATAGTCATAAGTTATGACTCAAAACAATTGCTCCTTTAGTGCTTTTCGTAACGTACATTGGAGTGTTGTGGAATATTTTCCGGTGTTTCCGAAATAATGTTTCGTGCTTTTCTTTGGACAAAACGTTGTTTTATTATTGGTGATTTTGTATGAAAAACAGACAAATAATACGACTTTTGATGCACTTTTTTTCAGTTTGCGGTAAGTATTAAAAATACAAACAAAACATAGATCAATTGACCATATGCAAGGAATGCGGTCGATGTTGCCAATGGTAAAAAAATAAAATTCCCTATTGGGAACATTCAATTATATTACGTTGGCTACATTGAAAATTTGAATTTCCCGCACAAACAAAATTAATTTACATCTTTTTTTTTAATAATAATAAATAATAATAATTACCACATTTGAAATTCGCACCTTAATTTATTATACAACATTGGAACTACCTTCTTTATCTCTGGGGACTACTAGAATATATGTTAGTTTGTGCGGGAAATTCAAAATTTCAGTGTAGCCAACGTAATATAATTTAATGTTCCCAATAGGGAATTTTATTTTTTTACCATTGGCAACAACGACCGCATTCCTTGCATATGGTCAATTTATATTTTACTTGAGTAAAATATATACAGTGCTTGCAAATCCAAATCCGACCGCGTTGGAAAGGATGGTTGTTCAATACCCACGTGAAAAGAATAAGGATAGAATGCCAAACAGAATTTGATTGGTCAGAGCGTCAGGCGTGCGTATTGTAAGCGCCTTCTATTTGGTGTTCCATCCTTGTTATTTTCACGCGTCCTTCCCTAAACGGTCGGACTTGGATTTGCAAGCACTGTATAAGGTTATGTTCGTATTATTCAAAATTTATAAAATATAAAGTAGGTAGGTATATAAAAACACTTTCATTCACAATTCTATTCTACTATCTACGTTTTTATAGTTTTGCATACGAATTAATAATTTCTCAGACTTGGGTAAAATGTATATTGTTATGTTCGTATTATTCAAAATATACAGGGTGATTCAGACTTGTGGTGACAAAAGCTCAGGGGAAATTCCTCTCATCAAAATATGAAAAAAAGTTCCTATAAACACGTGTTCGAAAATGCTTCATTATCGAGATACAGGGTTTTTCGTTTAAAAAAAATTAGTTTTTTATTTATAGCTTAAAAACGATTTGGCCGATTTTATTAAAAATTTATATGGTTTATTAAATAATAAATGATTCAAGGATAATAAAAAATCACGTAAAGTTCCTCTAGCTTAAAAATTTACCATGAGTTTTAAAGTGTCAATTTTTTTAGAAATATTGAGGGCCCCCACCAAATGTCGGCCCCAGGGCCTCAAAACTCTTAATCCGGCCCTGGTCTATGGTTCTGTTACCATTAAACTAATTTAGAGTACCCATGTATTGCGGCGTTTTAAACACTGTACTTACTACAACAATGCTTTAATCTTTTGTTAATAAAACATTTCACAAAATATTATTAAATTTTGCTATTTTATTTTTTAAGAAATTAAACTTATAAAAAAAATCTATAAATCTATTTTAGAATAAATTTGTAATTTATAAACTTTTTACTTTATTGTCAGTTGTAATTTTTTAGGCTTTTAAAATATTTAATTATCTAATAAATTTGAAAAAGTATTTGGAAATTGTTTTTCAAACAATGGCGAATGCGCCGGGATCACACGCATATTTAAATTTTACTTTTTTAGAAGAAACCTTACATTAATTAATTTTTAGTTCAAAACTATAATATAAACAAATTAAATGCTTATTAGTATATTATTACGTATCAAATTTTATTAACGCCATTTTAGTCACGGATTTTTTAATGGACTAACAAACGTTTAATCCGATATAGAAGCAGTTTTTCAGTTGAAATTGATATTTAGTTTGTGGCGGTCTTTACAAACGTGCATATAAACTTTTTAAAAATCAAGAAACCATTTATTAATTTTGTATGGGGATAATAATAGTATATTATGTATCAAGTTTTATAAACGCCATTTTAGTTACGAGTTTAATTAAGCACGAGCGAAGCTTGCGAGCGAGTGTTTAATAAAAACGAGTGCCTAGAGAAGTTTATAAACGAGTTGCATACTATAATTTATCTACGACGAACACAAATCATAATTTAAAGCCAATTTTATTTGTTAAAATTTTGACATCTGTCAACTGTCCCGAATTTAACCTCATTTTTTCCCAATTTATAATAAAGCTAACTTCAGCCCGTCAATAAAACTCCATAAAGTTACAGCTCGTCAATGTAGGAGTAGATAAAATAATTTTTACATTTAGTATTAATTCACAATAAGGGCACTTTATTTTGACGGATGTATGATATTTGATAACAGTAAACTAACTTTAAGCTAACTTCAGCCCGTGATTAAAAAAACACCAGTCTCAGCTTGTCATAAAAAACATGAGCTCCTTATTTGTTTTTTACACTTAAATGCTAAGTAGGTAACTATCAAAATGATAGTAACGCAAGAAGACTTCAATTATTACCTATTTAAGAAATAGGGGTTAGGTATTAAATTTAATAATAAGACAAACATATAATTTTGGTAATGTACCACTTATATTTATAACAATTGCAAATACTATTATTTATAAAATATCTTTTACGGAATTCATTTATGGGAATGGAACTGATGCCCATGGCGGAGTCATAGGTTGTGGGTTTTGAAGGTATGACATGACTACAGATGATATTGATAACATAAACGAACTCAAAATCTGAAAAAAAGTATCATGTCATGACATACCACTTAAAAATTTATATAATAACCTGTTTCGTATCATCAGTGACCCTGGAGTTGGCAAAACTGACGCATGAGCAGTAGAGAGCCACCCATGCGCACCATTTCAGTCTCATCATCAGTCCGCACATACTGAAGATCATGCCTAACAAAAACAAGATATATTTCAGTAAAAAATTGATAGGAATGTGGGATTTAATTCACCATAAATAAAATGCACAAATTCTTAATAATATTTATTTGATATATCTTTAATAGTGTAATAAAATATAGATTAGCTTAAAAGTGAAATCCAATAATAAATGTATTCAGTAAAAAATAAATAACACAACACAACAAAAAAAATTATAGAGATATAATGTTTCACAAATGAGGTTGCAAACAAGAAACTGGACCGAAAAAAAATTAAAATATTTTCCATATTAAACAATGTTCATCATATTTTACATATAATTACGTAAAAAGTTACATACATGGTACAGTCAAGTGCAGTCCAGTTGTTTTTCTACTTAGTATTTTTACAGAAAGGAAACAATTTTATATTATTAACACAGCCATAATTGTCTAAGATTTAATCTTCGTAGATTTCCCTAAGTGACATTCATATAACACTTAATGTCCTGCTGATAAAAGTTTTGACCAAATTTTGAGTAATATCGTCAGGACACCCCATTTTTATTTAAATTCAGAACAAGGCTCCATCAAAGAATAGCAGGGTAGTGTTTTAGACAATTGTGAAAAATATCTCAATTTGCGAATATTTTTATGAAATCCCTAACATTATTTTAATCATTTTACATGTGTCCCAAAACAATCTGTAAGCTACGCAATCTAGAGGAAATATATCGGTTTTTATAAATATTAAATGGTATGATGATTAAAATAATGATTACACTCGATTGAGATTATCGTCCTGAATATTCCATAGTAGGTAAATTATAAAAAATATCTTCCAGAACCTAATTTTAAAAAACTTGGCTAGTAATGTTTGTTTAAATATAACTTAATAATATTGTCCTGAAAAATAAAATTCTGGAAACACAACTTAAAAGCATTTTTGTATAATTGGAATTAAATAGAAACTACATACTTTTAAGCAAATTAAGCAAAGATAAACCTCTATATATTTCTCGTTCGAATACAAATAAAGCAAAAAAAAAATAATGTAAATATATTTTGAGTATACTTTACTCTAATCTAAACTAGGACACATTTTTATCTTTACTACACAGGGTCAATATTAATTATAATAATTTACATTTTGGGATTATTATAAAAATAGTGATATTATAATAGCAATTTATTTTAAAATTAACAAAACAAAGAAAATAAATGGTGTAATAAAATCACAGTTTCAAATAGTACCAAATTAAAAATTTGGCTTTCAATAATTTTCCGTTTTCCTATAATACATACTTTACAAAATTTTACACAAATTTACAGTTTTCTCGGCCAATCTGAATCCCTATTTTTTCCTTCGTTAGCTCATCTCACAAAATCAACAATTTATGTGTCCACCCAAAAATAAACAAAATCTTAATAAACCACAACAGAGTTTACAGGCGTTTTCTAGATGGCATTTCACACTTTTCCCAATTTTTCTTTGGTTCTACAAATTTAATGTACTGGACAAATGTTAAATAAACAATAGAAAAAGTGTAAAAATATCATCTTGAATTATTTTTAGACTTCATCAGTTTAGCACTAACTCATCGCGTACATGAGTAAGTTAAATAAATAATATAATAACTGCCTTGTTTTTGTATAGAATAATTAAATTAAATATAAAAATAAATACTGCAGATTCGTCTCGATAAAGCACTAAAAATGCAATTTGGACGTGGTTGGCCTAAAGCTAGAGAAGTCTAAACGTTTTCCCCAAAGCTTCAAATATTTTTAATGATCATTTTTATTTTTTAATATAAATTGCTAAAAGCATGACTGTGGTTATAAGTTAATGTAAAGAGCAACTAGTATTAAAGAGAATCTGTAACATTAAAAGTATTGAAGCGTTGTATTGTGTTAGTTGGGTTTGTTAATAAAGTGGTGTTAAATAATTGTCTTTAAAAAATTGTAATAAAGTGTAAAACACGAACCACTTCATTAAAAACACAGTCAAATAAGGCTAAAAAAGGGCCTCAGGATAAGACAATAAGCTGAAAATTACCATTTAGCAAATATCACGTTTCCTGAGCGTCAAAAGTTGTTCGAGGTAATAATAAAACTTAGAGAACATAAAATTTCTCACAATTTTGTTCCTAGACTTTTTTTTTCTAACACTAACCGTTCTCGAGATATATATTTCGAAAACAATTGATAATGTAAAACAAAATTGTAGGCAATTTTATTATCAACAAATTTATTTATAATTTTAACGAAGATATGACGAATATGAAACTATATACAGGAAAAAATGGTGGAAAAAATTCAGGACCGTGCTTTACTATCAAAAGTCGGTCCAATAATCTTTCCTAAAAAGTTATAGCCATCTAAGGGGACCAATAGAATTCGGTTTTTATTGAATTAAAATTTGACAAGCTTTCTATCAGATACCATTCCTTGCCATAAACGAATTATGCACTAAATATCCTTCTATCAGTATTAATTTTATTTAAAGAGCTATAAGGGTGGTTAAATTATAGAAAAGTTGCGTAATTACATGGATTGGATTGGATTCCTAATTTTTTTCCTATCTGAACATGTAAAATTTTAATATGGCGGCCATATGAGAAACAAAAGATGGTGGTGGTATCTCAAAACCTAACAGGCAAAAAAATCACAAATTGGATAAAAATGAGATTTTTTAAATTCCCAGTAATAACGAAGTTATAAAATTTTTTAGTTTTGACAGGTTTTAAGTTTTTTTCAAATTATTCAAAATGATTTTTTTTTCGAGTTTTTAAATGCCATATTAATTAACTTGTAATTACGCAGCTTTTGGGATACTTGGCGCACCCCATATATATAGTTGTCCAATTAGTATTTTGGCCCTAAACTTATTTCTGTTTAAATTATTTGTCCAATTTGGTTAAAAATATGATTTTTAATCATTTTTCAACGTTTGGTCAAATAAATGCATTTTTCTTAAAACCTGCTGCAAGTTTTCTTGCCTTGTAGAAAATTAATTAAAAATCATATGTTTAACCAAATTGGACAACAAATTTAAAGGGGCCAAAATAGTGAAGTACCCACCCTAATAACCTTTTGTCAACCAATAGTATCTGATATTGTAAACCTTTTTAAGAAGAATTTTAGGATTGAAGTGCATATGAACTTTTTTTGAAATTTCTGAGAGTAGACGCGGTCCTAAATTTTCTCCACGCAAAAAACGATTTCCGCTAATTTTGACCTCAGACTTAGTAAATGTAAAAAATTTTGCCGTACTTATTGTTTCATTCTGAGGTTATCCGACTTATTTGACCGAACTAATAAGCGATTTGAGGGAAAAACAGCGATAGGAAAGACCTGTATTATGAAGCATACAGTCCCTGGCCAATTTATTAGACTCCCCCTCAAATTTTCTTTAATTTCGTGAAATTGTAAAATTGTCGATATCTTCTCAGGAAAATGCATTTTTGAACTACAAAGTGATGTAATGAAAATGAAAATGAAAATTGAAAATAAAAAATTACTTAAAACACTTAAATTATGTTGTTTTCGCAAAAATAACTTTTTGGGTTGTAAGACCCATTTCTGCAATAAATCTTTTATTACATGTTTAGTAGTGATTCAAATAATTTTTTTTACTTCCGACACTGAAAAATCGTTTTTAGGCACCTCTAGAAAAACTCACCCAATCAATTTTCCATTTTTTCTTTAGTCCCTTTTAAAAAGACCATATTTCAATATATCAATCGTTTAATCAAATTTTTTTATAGGAAATTGATTTGTTTAAGTGATTACTCAAGCCATTTAAAAAATATTCAAGAATTTATTAAGTAAGTCACTAAAAAATAATTATTGTCAAATGATTATTTTTGTCAAATGAGTATTTTTTTTGTAGAGCGTTAAATTTCCTACAAAAATATGTCATACTCATTTGACAATAATTATTTTTTAATGAGTTACAAAAATAAAAATATTTTTTTTTTAATAAATTCTTCAAACTTTGATCTTGAATATCTTTTAAATGATTAGACATCAGTCCTTTTTTGTAGAGCATTCAATTTCGTTCAATATGTATAAAGATTTGATTAAACGATTGATAAATAATGAAATATGGAACTAAAGAAACAATGGAAAACTGCGATAAGGATCTTCCTATTAATACACTGCGCGTTAAAATTAACGCATAAATAATAAAAATCTAACTCTAAAACGCCTTTACCAATCTTTATGAAATTTTGTATAAAAATATTTCAACCTATATCTCAGTTTACGTGGTTTTTCGAGAAAATATTTTTAAAGCCCTTTGATTTAATAATAAAGAAACATTCGAAAAATAACTTTTGGGGAATTTTTTTGAAGTAAATAAAAAATATGCTGTTAAAGACCGCATTTTTGTTAGTATACCCTGAAAATGCTGTACAAATCAAACAAACACTAACGAAGATACAGCGTTTCTAAAAAGTGGTCATTTTTGACGACTTTGAAGCGATTTATTTTCGTTCTGTTCGTTTGATTTGTACAAAATTTTCAGAGTATACTAACAAAAATATGGTCTTTCATAGCATATTATTTATTTACTCCCTATAAAAATTTTTTTTGAGCGTTGTTTATTATTAAAGTATTTTTATTCAAAATTTTATAAAGATTTGTAAAGGCGTTTAGACCTCAAATTCAGTAAGCACTAGAGGTGCCTAAGAAGCGATTTTTCAGTGTCGGAAATAAAAAAAAATATTCAATTTTTTTATTGAAAAAATACTGTGGAAAATATTAATTTTATAGCACAATACAAGTGTTGTAGGTAATTTTTTTACAATCACTTTTTTATTTTCAAACGCAATTCTATACATAAAATCACTTTTGTGGTTCAAAAGTATGTGGGAAGATATGGACCATTTTACAAATTCCAAAAATGCAAGAGAATTTGTAAAATTGTTGATATATTCTCAGGAAAATGCATTTTTGAACTACAAAGTGATTTTATGAATAACATTAAAATTGAAAATAAAAAATTACCTAAAACACTTAAATTGTGTTCTAAAATTAATATTTCTAATTTTCTCATTTTTGCAATCATTCTTTTTTTATATATTAAGTAGGGTGATTTTTATTTACATCCAACACTAAAAAATTGGTTCTTAGACACCTCTAGAAAGTGCTTACGAAATTTTATCTCTTAATATTAATAGGAAGATCCTTCTCATCACCGTTTTTCATTTTTTCTTCAGTCCCTTATATAAATACCATATTTCATTATTAATCATTCGTTTAATCATATTTTTTAAGGAAATTGAATGCTTCAAGCGATTACTCTAACCATTTAAAATATATTCAAGATCAAAGTTTGAAGAATTTATAAAAAAATTATTTTTTTAAATTATTTTGTAAATCATTAATAAATAATTATTGTCAAACGGTAGAGTAATTAATTAAACACATCTGACTTTTTTGTAGTGTTAAATTTCCTACAAAAATATGCCATACTCATTTGACAATAATTATTTTTCAATGAGTTACAAAAATATGTAAAAAAAAATTATTAATTCTAAATGGTAAATTGTGATGAGGATCTTCGTATTAATATTAAGAGCTCAAATTTGGTGAGCACTTTCTAGAGGTGCCCAAGAACCAATTTTTCAGTCTCGGAAGTAAAAAAAAATTCGATTTTTTTATTGCAAAAATTAAATGCCAAAAAGTAGTTTTTGTGGAAAATATTAATTTTATAGCACAATTTTTTATTTTCAAACGCAATTCTATACATAAAATCACTTTTGTGCTTCAAAAGTGCACTTATGTGGGAAGATATGGACCATTTTACAAATTCCAAAAATGCAAGAGAATTTGTAATATTGTTGATATCTTCTCAGGAAAATGCATTTTTGAACTACAAAGTGATTTTATGAATAAAATTAAAATTGAAAATAAAAAATTACCTAAAACACTTACATTGTGTTCTAAAATTAATATTTCTCATTTTCTCATTTTTGCAATAATTCTTTTATTACATGTGTAGTAGGGTAATTTTTTTTTACATCCAACACTAAAAAATTGGTTCTTAGACACCTCTAGAAAGTGCTTACGAAATTTTATCTCTTAATATTAATAGGAAGATCCTCCTCATCACCGTTTTCCATTTTTTTTCAGTCCCTTATAAAAATACTATATTTCATTATTAATCAATCGTTTAATCATATTTTTTAAGGAAATTGAATGCTTTAAGCTATTACTCTAACCATTTAAAATATATTCAAGATCAAAGTTTGAAGAATTTATAAAAAAAAATATTTTTTTAAATAATTTTGTAACTCATTAATAAATAATTATTGTTAAATAAGTATGACATATTTTTGTAGGAAATTTAACGGTCTGCAGAAAAGGTCTGATATATTTAATTGATTACTCTTACCATTGAGAAGATATTCGTATCAGTACGGATTAATTAATTAAACACATCTGACTTTTTTGTAGTGTTAAATTTCCTACAAAAATATGCCATACTCATTTGACAATAATTATTTTTCAATGAGTTACAAAAATATGTAAAAAAAAAATTTTATTAATTCTAAATGGTAAATTGTGATGAGGATCTTCGTATTAATATTAAGAGCTCAAATTTGGTGAGCACTTTCTAGAGGTGCCCAAGAACCAATTTTTCAGTCTTGGAAGTAAAAATTTTTATTGCAAAAATTAAATGCCAAAAAGTCGTTTTTGTGGAAAATATTACTTATATAGCACAATACAAGTGTTGTAGGTAATTTTTTTACAATCACTTTTTTATTTTCAAACGCAATTCTATACAGAAAATAACTTTTGTGGTTCAAAAGTGCACTTATGTGGGAAGATATGGACCATTTTACAAATTCCAAAAATGCAAGAGAATTTGTAAAATTGTTGATATCTTCTCAGAAAAATGCATTTTTGAACTACAAAGTGATTTTATGAATAAAATTAAAATTGAAAATAAAAAATTACCTAAAACACTTACATTGGGTTCTAAAATTAATATTTCTCATTTTCTCATTTTTGCAATCATTCTTTAATTATGTTTAGTAGGGTGATTTTTTTTACATTCAACGCCAAAAAATTGGTTCTTAGACACCTCTAGAAAGTGCTTACGAAATTTGATCTCTTAATATTAATAGGAAGATCCTCCTCATCACCGTTTTCCATTTTTTCTTCAGTTCCTTATAAAAATACCATATTTCATTATTAATCAATTGTTTAATCATATTTTTTAAGGAAATTGAATGCTTCAAGCGATTACTCTAACCATTTAAAATATATTCAAGATCAAAGTTTGAAGAATTTATAAAAAAAATATTTTTTTAAATAATTTTGTAACTCATTAATAAATAATTATTGTTAAATAAGTATGACATATTTTTGTAGGAAATTTAACGGTCTGCAGAAAAGGTCTGATATATTTAATCAGACCATTGAGAAGATATTCGTATCAGTACGGATACGAATATCTTCTCAACGGTAGAGTAATTAATTAAACACATCTGACTTTTTTGTAGTGTTAAATTTCCTACAAAAATATGCCATACTCATTTGACAATAATTATTTTTCAATGAGTTACAAAAATATGTAAAAAAATTTTTTTTATTAATTCTAAATGGTAAATTGTGATGAGGATCTTCGTATTAATATTAAGAGCTCAAATTTGGTGAGCACTTTCTAGAGGTGCCCAAGAACCAATTTTTCAGTCTCGGAAGTAAAAAAATATTCGATTTTTTTATTGCAAAAATTAAATGCCAAAGTCGTTTTTGTAGAAAATATTAATTTTATAACACAATACAAGTGTTGTAGGTAATTTTTTTACAATCACTTTTTTATTTTCAAACGCAATTCTATACATTAAATCACTTTTGTGGTTCAAAAGTGCACTTTGTGGGAAGATATGGACCATTTTACAAATTCCAAAAATGCAAGAGAATTTGTAAAATTGTTGATATCTCAGGAAAATGCATTTTTGAACTACAAAGTGATTTTATGAATAAAATTAAAATTGAAAATACAAAATTACCTAAAACACTTACATTGAGTTCTAAAATTAATGTTTCTCATTTTTGCAATCATTATTTTATTACATGTTTAGTAGGGTGATTTTTTTTTACATCCAACACTAAAAAATTGGTTCTTGGACACCTCTAGAAAGTGCTTACGAAATTTGATCCCTTAATATTAATAGGAAGATCCTCCTCATCACCGTTTTCCATTTTTTCTTCAGTCCCTTATAAAAATACCATATTTCAATATTAATCAATCGTTTAATCATATTTTTTAAGGAAATTGAATGCTTCAAGCTATTACTCTAACCATTTAAAATATATTCAAGATCAAAGTTTGAAGAATTTATAAAAAAAATATTTTTTTAAATGATTTTGTAACTCATTAATAAATAATTATTGTTAAATAAGTATGACATATTTTTGTAGGAAATTTAACGGTCTGCAGAAAAGGTCTAATATATTTAATCAGACCATTGAGAAGATATTCATATCAGTACGGATACGAATATCTTCTCAATGGTAGAGTAATTAATTAAACACATCTGACTTTTTTGTAGTGTTAAATTTCCTACAAAAATATGCCATACTCATTTGACAATAATTATTTTTCAATGAGTTACAAAAATATGTAAAAAAAATTTTTTATTAATTCTAAATGGTAAATTGTGATGAGGATCTTCGTATTAATATTAAGAGCTCAAATTTGGTGACCACTTTCTAGAGGTGCCCAAGAACCAATTTTTCAGTCTTGGAAGTAAAAAAAATATTCGATTTTTTTATTGCAAAAATTAAATGCCAAAGTCGTTTTTGTGGAAAATATTAATTTTATAGCACAATACAAGTGTTGTAGGTAATTTTTTTACAATCACTTTTTTATTTTCAAACGCAATTCTATAAATAAAATCACTTTTGTGGTTCAAAAGTATGTGGGAAGATATGGACCATTTTACAAATTCCAAAAATGCAAGAGAATTTGTAAAATTGTTGATATCTTTTCAGAAAAATGCATTTTTGAACTACAAAGTGATTTTATGAATAAAATTAAAATTGAAAATAAAAAATTACCTAAAACTCTTACATTGTGTTCTAAAATTAATATTTCTCATTTTTGCAATAATTCTTTTATTACATGTTTAGTAGGGTGATTTTTTTTACATCCAACACCAAAAAATTGGTTCTTAGACACTTCTAGAAAGTGCTTACACTTAATATTAATAGGAAGATCTTCCTCATCACCGTTTTCCATTTTTTTTTCAGTTCCTTATAAAAATTGAATGCTTCAAGCGATTACTCTAACCATTTAAAATATATTCAAGATCAAAGTTTGAAGAATTTATAAAAAAAATATTTTTTTAAATAATTCTGTAACTCATTAATAAATAATTATTGTCAAATAAGTGTGACATATTTTTGTAGGAAATTTAACGGTCTGCAAAAAAGGTCTGATGTGTTTAATTGATTACTCTAACCGTTGAGAAGATATTCGTATCAGTACGCATTGGTATTCGGATACGAATATCTTCTCGACGGTTAGAGTAATCAATTAAACACATCGGACTTTTTGTAGTGTTAAATTTGCTACAAAAATATGCCATACTCATTTGACAATAATTATTTTTCAATGAGTTACAAAGGATCTTCTAGAAGTGCCCAAGAACCAATTTTTTAGTCTCGGAAGTAAAAAAAATATTCGATTTTTTTATTGCAGTTTTGTAGGTAAATTTTTTACAATCACTTTTTCACTTTCAAAGTTATCGTCCCAAACGCGATTCTATCCATAAAATCGCTTTTGCGGCTCAAAAGTGCATTTACGGGGGAAGACACGGACCGCTTTACAAACACCCGAGACGAAAGAGAATCTGCGAGCGAGCGCAGCAAGTCGGCCGCGATTCGCGCACAGCCTACTGCGTCGGCGCGGCGTCCGGCGCGGGATTCTGCTGAGCGTTCGCGACCGCAACGACGACGGGACTAGGAGTGGGGGGCGGGAGCGAGGAGGGGGCGGCGGCGTTGCCGTTCGTCTTCGCGCCGATCTGGCTCTTCAGCTGGTTGTTTTCAGTCTCGAGTTGCTGGATCTTCTCCATCAGTTCGGAGATCTTCTCCTTCAGCACTTCCACCTCCTCGCGCACCGTGTACATCAGGTGCGACTTGACCAGGTCCATCGCCTGCTCGATCTTGTTGTCGATCGCGTTCACCACCGGGTTCGTCTGCGTCTCGGTGGGTTCCGCCGCCGAGCTAATCGGCTCCGCAACCGCCTCCGTTTGGTCCAAGTTGGCCAGGCTCGAGGCGCTGCCCGCGATCGCGAAGTGCGGGTTGCTGTACACGTTGCACTCGAAGTTTTGCGGCTGTTGCGTTATAACTTGCTGCTGTGGCGGTTGTTGCTGTTGTTGTTGTTGTTGCTGTTGAAACGAGGGGTTCGCGGCGTATACGGGTTGTTGCTGCTGGTTGTTCTGCATTTGGTTTTGGTTCACTAGAGTTTGCTGCACGTTGGAGTTCAGTATGACACTTTTGGCGGTTTGCGCCGGCAAACTTCCCGCGCTCACCTGTTGGTCTTGTTGGTTGTGAGCGGGAAAGTTGTGGCCGTTGACGAGCGGCTGGCCGGCGTACGTTTGGCTCTGCTGAAAGTTCGAGAGCTGAACGACGGTCTGCGAGGTGGGAACGAACGCGCTGTTCTGCTGGTTCTGCACGGGCACGTACTGAACGTTCGGGTTCGGGTAGTTTTGAACGCCGAAACCGGCGTTCTGAACGCCGTGAAAGTAAGGCTGAGAAGAGTTTATGAACGCGGGCACTTGCTGCGGTAAAGTCTGCGTCTGCATGTTACTAGTCACTTGCGGCTGGTAAAAGTACGGATTCTGCGGCATCATCTGCGTTTGCACGTTCGGAGCGAAGAACTGCGAGCCGTTGGTGAAGCCGCCCTGCACGAGATATTGGTGTATCTGCTGCTGCGGCATGCTCTGCGTTTGCATGTAGCCGGCGGTGGAACTAAGCTGCACGTTGCCCGACGAGTGCGACAGCTTCGACTGACTAGATTGCGGCGGGTGCTCGTCGACGTAGTCCATGCATTTCCAGCGGCCCCGTTTGAACGGCTCGAGGCTGGCGATCTTGACCACCTTGAAGCGCTCGTTGCGACTCGGCGTCGACTGCGGGTCGACTTTCGCCTCGTCCGGCGGCTTCGTCGTCGCATCCGTCACCGTTTCCGTGAACGCGGTGACGGTTTCCGTCGGGATTATTGCGAGGCCGTATTGAGGGCTGGTGGGTATCACGTTGGTAGCATTCGACGTTGCGATCGTGTTACTAAGCTCGTCCGAGTGGACCGCTTCAAGGGGCAAGGAGGCTACTTGAAGATTAGGTTCCGCGCTGGTAGTGGACTCTGAGTGCTTGTCGGGAGCTTCGCATGCATTTGCCGTGGTCTGGTGCTGACCTACGGAATGCAATTGTTAGATAATTTTTCAACGCTACGTCCGTCACAGTGTTACCCACTCACGCTCAATACGGCAAAGATACTACTAAGTCTTGGTTTAGTACTACACAATCCACACAACAAGGTCTGTTCTATCTCGGTACATTGCGAACTAAACTGTGCGCTAGGGTTTTAAAATTTCCGGAAAAAATTGAATTGAATTGGAAAATATTCAACAGTAATATTACAAGAGAACATTCCTGGAGAATTATTTTCTAATTTATTGATCTCTCGAGTGGTATTTAAAAGATTATTTTTTGACGATATAGACAAAACGTTTGAAATTGTTAAATTGATTTATTGCTGGTTTGCGTATTTTTTTTATGGCACGCCGTTTTAGCATTTACTAGATAATAGTTTGAAGATTTAAGTTTAGCACTTAAATGATGTTTTAACATGTTTTTTGCTAAACAAAAAATAATTTATGGTCAAACATTTTTTTAAATATCATATTTAACTGTAAAACTTTAAGCTTAAAAATAGGTATTGATTTTAAAAAATTTTAGTTCAAATATTTTATTCTACAAAATTTTCGGTTTAAATTTGAAAAGTAATTTAAATGATAGTGGATAAGTTTTTAATACAAAAATTCTGACATTACATTTAAATGTACACAGAAAAAACGCTATGGGTGAGCCATTAAACCAATGGGATCTTGTAATCCGTATTCCTGAATAACAGTTCCTATAATACGAATAGGTAGTTAGCACTTGGTTCACTGTTTTTAAATTAACAACAAAAGTTATCGCTCCTAAATGTATTGATATTCATTTTGATATTTATTTGTTAGAATGGTAGAATGTTATTGCATTAAATACTAATTAGGTTTATTTAATAACGTTACTATTGTATGTATACTATGTATACATTTAAAGCAATAAATTCTTTGACATTCAGGCAAAATATTTTCCTATTTTGGTTTAATAGTAATTAATTGAGCAAATAAAAATTTAGATTGCTTTAATTTTAATGCATTCAATGACAGCGCTGTTCTTGGTACTAGGTTAGATTTTTTTCTGTGAAGTGGTAATTTTTGGATTAAAAATTTATCGACTATCATTTAAATGACTCTTTACAAATTCAAACCAAAACTTTTTATTTTCAACAATTTTAAATTGATAAATTTTAAACACAATATTTATAACTACATTTAAATGTAAGTCGATAATTTTTAATTTACAAAGTGTAAACGTAGCTTTAGCAGACGGCGTACGCTGTCTCTTTCTAGAGTGGCCAATGAAAAGTACAAAGCGCATATGCAGCCAGCTAAAGCAGCGTTTACACTTTGTAAATTAAAAATTATCGACTTACATTTAAATGTAATGTGAATATGCTTGTGTTTTTATTTTAAATGTTTCGACGCTATTTTTAAATACTAAAAAATTTAACTTTACTAATTTAATCTAAATAATTTTATAAAAAATTTATTTAGGATTTACAAAACTCTGCCCAAAGAAATTATACCTAAAAAAATATTATTATTAAAAAATGATAGTTTGAAATTTTTGAAACATCCATTATAATTAAAAATATTTTAAATTTATAAATGTTTTTAGTTGAAAAATTTTAAACCAATAAAATTTTAAATTAAAAAAATATTTAATAAATTCCATTTATAAAATTATAATTTTGTTATTTACTTAACTTATTTTGTAATCGGATATTTGGAATGGACTTTTTTTACAAAAAAGACCCAACCGACAGTATTTTTAATATTTACGTTTATTTTCTTTAATCAATTTAATTTAATTCAATATTTAGTTTTATTTTTTTATTTTTAAATTAAAATAATGTTAACTTGTTGATTGCTTCTTTTTACAAATATGTAGGTAACTAATATATATATTTAAAAAAATCATTTTTTCCAAAAAAAGACAATTTTTTTTTGACACTTTAAAACACGCGAGCTGGCGGTGATTTATTTGCCGCCGTTATTTTAAATTATCCGAAATGGTCCTGCATAACACAGGAATGGAAGAAGTAAAAAATAGCTGTTTTAAATTTTAGAGTAAACAGAAATGTTTTAAACATAATATTTGACAAGAATATCGATATTTAGTAGTATTTTCAGGCACACGTTACTTTAATAAAATATCTTTAATTGAATCGGTGAGATTAAGAACAGTACAAGTCCAAAAGTTAAAATTTGGTCCAATTATTTCATAAAATCCGTTTTATAGTTGAAAATGCATTTTTGTGAGAATATTTTAACTATTTTATAAAATATAATAATCATTCTTTGTAAAATAATTTATATCTTCTCACAAAAATGCATTTTTAACTTTTAAATTAATTTTAGAAAATTTTGGACTGTTCTTTATCTCAATAAATTAATCCGAAATTTTGACTGTGACGGAAAATTATATAAATTATGCTGTTTTTGTTACTCATAGGCTATGAGTCACAGCATTAATAAAATATTTAGGTAAGCATTGAGTCACATTCGAACGACCCTTAGTAACTACTAAATATTTTAACTAACGAAACTACAAAACGTTTATTTTTATTTTGGCGCATCTAGTTTGATGCCCTCGATATGTTCATTGTGCAGTTGGTTGCCTAGCGGTCGCGAATCGAGATAGAACAGACCTTGTTGTGTGGATTGTGGGTATACTAGATAATCTTATCAACAACTATACCTAAAACTCTTTCGCCTCTGACGTCATTCAGTTCTTACATTCTTTTTCTTTGTTTCATGTCTACATTCACAAATACTTAATTGTTCACTTAAAAAACGTCATAAACAAATATTATTAAGTTTCACTTGCTTTACCTACTAAACCAAGGCTAAATAACACTGTGCTTATCTACTACTACACCGATTTATTCATTTGCAATAATATTTTGAAATAAAGTGGGAATATAGACTTATAAATAGTTTTAAAAATAAAAAATTTCGATTGATAAGTCTTAAAATAACTTGAGAAAACCGCAAAACATTTCTTTTTATAATATAATTAACATTTAAAATTTCATAAGTAATTAAATTATTAATAATAAATATAATATTAATTAAAGTAATTTAAGTGGGGTTCAGACTTTATTAATTAAATCAACATTTCTGATTCATTGTATTTTAATTTTTTTTAATTTAAATTAAGATACACATCATTATTAAAATCAACAGTTTTTTTTTAAATCACGATTTATTTAATTTAGTTAAATTTTAACCAAATTAAATAAATAAACATACTATGATCTACACCCAAAAGTCCCACCTTTAATACAAATAATTGAGGTTATCTATCTGTCATTTTAACGCTAATTTTGTCTTATTTTCTGGAATGAATACAAAATATTTATTTTTTGTGTTCTAAATAGAGACCTTCATACAAAAAAATACATAGGTACCAATATTGTATTATTTTGGGTGTGGTGTAGTACATAATACATAACATGTATTTAACTTTTTTATTTTAAGTGTCCCAAAAAATTTCAAAGTGAGGTTATGTAGGTACTAAAAATACTTTTGTTCTACGTATAAAGAAAGTTGGAAAATTGATCAGTATACAGGGAAAAACAAAAAGTTTATTTTTTTTCAATGGATCACCCTATATATGTATTTATTTTTCGATTCCTTGTAAAATTCTAAGCATATTTCATATAACATACCATATACCTAAATTCAACCGTTTCTGAAATATTTAAATTATTTTTAAGATAATAATTTGAAATAGTTTGTCTTTCTCTGTCTAAGTACGCCATTTTTACTTATTTAACAAGACATATTGCATAATGTCACTTTAGTAATTTATTTTCAATAAAAATGTTGGTATACTGAGGTTTCTTGATTTCTAACAGTTTTAAAAAACATTTAATGTTAACATTTCAAATGTGAATATTTCAGAAACGATTGAGTTTAGGTATATGGTTTGTTATATGAATTATGGTCAGAATTTTACATGGAATCGAAAAATAAATTTATATATAGGGTGATCCATTAAAAAATAAAATTTTTGTTTTTCCCTCTAATTTGATCAATTTTCCATTTTTTTATACATAGGAAAAAAGTATTTTTAGTACCTACATAACCACACTTTTAAATTTTTTGGGACACTTAAAATAAAAAAGTTAAAGGGGGCGGCATTATAGGGGATCACCACCCTGTTCATACTATAGGTAACACAATTTTTTATAATAAATAATTTTACATCCTTAAAGATTAGTTTGTTTTATTCAATTTAGCCAATTTAGATTTTTTTGTCAATTATTATATAAAGTTTTATTCTATAATTTAAATTCCTAAAAAACATAAATTGATGTCCATTAAGAAAAATTAAATAAAAAATATTTTTTATAAAACTCAAGTTTTACCAATAATGATACCAACTCAAAAATTGAAACTATATTTTAATTTTAAATTTAAATAAAATAGGTCAAAATAAGCTTGCAATTAATTTTGTCATCATTATTTTACTTTTGGACTACCTAATTTTATTTTATAAGACCCTCCACAGGAAAATATTTTAAGTACATTCTAAGTTATTTTTTAAAATTGACAAAACTAATTAAGAAATAGCACTTTTTGGTCAATGAGTTTTTATTTTACTGAAAGTTTCCAAAAACATTATTTAGTTGTAATTAAATTATTAATAACAAGATTAAAGTAATTAGAATTTGAAAACAATATAGGAATTTTGTCCTAAACATTTATTGATTCTAGGTATATTAAAAATAATTGAACACATTTTGGTAAAAACTATATGTAATGATATTTTACTTAAAAAACACACAATCTTAATCTCGATTTTAGTTATAAATGACAATGCAAAATTTAAATTTGAATGAAACCACATGTAAAATAATATTCTCCACATGATAAATAAATCATTAAAGACCTTTTGTTAGTAAACTAAACAGGAAAATTTCCAACACATGACCTGTCTTTAACACTTTGAACTTGTAGGCAATAATTAAACACGAAACAAAGCACTACAATGTACTTAATAAGAATACAATTATAAATACCCGATATCCATATCTAGATGTTTAATTTTACAAGAGAGTTTATTTATAAACAATTTAATTATGTATTTACATTTGATATTCGCAAAAAAACATTTAAAACTGTGCTAATAGATTTAAATTGACCTAATTATATTACGTTTTTTTTTTTGGTTAACTGCCGTGTACAAAGGATTCACTTGTAGGCTAATTTAAATAAATATTACACACAATAGCACGTGAAGTGAGAAAATTGGTTAATTAGGAGAGTACTTACCCAATATATTCATGTAGTCTGGAGTAAGGTCTTCTTGGCCGTTTCCTGATTTAGCGACATAACGTTGTACTTTTTCGGGTCTGCGTGGATCAACAGGAAGCATTTTGTGCTACAACAACGCTATCACTTTATTTCGAGTCGTAAAATTAAGATAAAGGAAATGTCAATAATGGAATTATGATGAATTTAACTTAAGAAGTGTCAAACTAGGGTTGAATCAACAAATGAATTGCCAGCCGCTGTAAAATAGACACAATACGGCGAACTGAATATTTGAATGTCGTTAATGATCACTTTAATAATGATAAATAGCATTTACTTACAGTTTTGCTCGAACTAAAATTATTTTTCTCTAAAATCACAATGGCGCCTCACCAGAAAATATCCACTGGCAGAAGCATATCAGCGAAATGTCACAAATCAGGAGCGTCGGTCAAGAGTTTTGTTGGGCGTGGATCTAATTTTTATATTTTGAAAATCTATTATTTCGACTGTAATATTCAAAGCAAATCTATCTAACTACATAATTAACACAACAATGTAATTATAATGTTATTTGTTTGGTTGGCGACTGTCTACGTTAATTTTCCAAATTGAAAACCCGATTCCATAGGCGTAGTCAGGTTATTTATTTTTAACTAATGAAATTTAAATTTATTAACGCTTATCTGTTTAATCAATACATGTTGCATGTTATTTAACTTATTGTTGATATAAAAACAAATTATATTTAGATTATATGGCTTTGGTTAAACGAAAAGATTAATTTATAGATTCTAATATCCCATGCAATCATGCAGCCAACATAGTTTTTTTTCCTAGTTCTAGGGTTTTATTGCGACTGTCGTGTCTTCTATTTTTATAACATAATTGATTCATTAAAATTATGTAATTTAAATACAAACCTTTTTTTATTTATTATACTTTTTTGTACAATTATTCTCAAAACTAGGGATTTATTGAAGAAAATTTAGGGATTTTTAAAGCGACAATGTTGGCAGTTCTGCAAAATTAAAAATAAAATGACAGTGACATAAATTTGACACACTTGCAAGGTGAGTGAAGTAATTTGTATTATTAGACGTGTATTTTTAGCGATTTAAATGTTGTAGACGTTATTTACAAAAACTTTCTTCGAAATGGACGAAGTAACGAATTTGTTTTATCGATATACAACGGCCTGGGAACAGAATATTAGAGGACCGCAGGTATATTTCAGCACGAAAAATATTTCTTGTGTTTACTTTAAAAATTATCAATGTTTTTGTAGATTGGGTGCTATTCTGTCGCAATAATCGGCCTCACTGTAGCTTTAAGAAAGGTCAGACCTGTAAGTATGTGTTATTTAACTTTTTATGTCGTTATTTAATGTTAAATTTTAGTTTAGCAAATTTAAAAGGGCTACGGATATTCCTGATCATTTTATTAAAGAGAGACGAGAGTTGACGGGATATGTGAAAGGGATTGAACCTGGTGGGGGTGTTTTAATGATACAACATAAACCTTTAGTCGATTTACCAATGGTGAGAACAGGTGATTTGCCTGTTAAAATATCGGGGGTTAAAGTATCAGCTTTGGGGGTAAATTGGTTACAAGCTATTGTAGTTGAAAATGAGGTTAAGTTTATTCCTATTCGTAAAGACAATCGATTTATTCAATGTGAAGTACTTCTGCCACAGACTAAAAATGTAAGTAGTGAATATTTTAAATTGAACAAAATATATTATAATACTTTTAGAAAAAAGTAAAGGATCTGCACATTGGTGAAACCTTGTTGAGAATAGGATTTGGGCAAATAGAAAAAGTGGAAAAGCCCCTTACGGATCCAACATTTTTGCAGTACTATAAGAGGTTAAAATCTGCGGAAGCATATGCCATTCGAAGAGACTTGGGTTATAAGTATTACATCAACCCAACTATAAAACTAGTAAAACTAATGCACCAAAAACTTAACGATATGCTGTTGGCAACAACTAAACAAATTCCTAGGTTATATAAGTTTGCAACTTCATAGCAACAACAGATTACTATAGTGGCTGAATGTTTTTTGATTGTGTTGAATATTATATGTGTTCACAAGATTATATCGTTTTTTGCTAAGGTAAATTAATGTATAATTCGCTTAATAAGATTTAAGAGTAATATTGTGGCAATAATTTTAATTTTTATTGTTGATCATTGGTTGTAAATTTGCTTTAGATTTTGCTAGAGACTGATTTTATTGTTCACAAGTTTCAGTATTTGTTACTTAATAGCAAATCTAAAAACTCACTGAATGAATGTTGTATGTTTGGGTGTATTAAATTTAATACGAGTAGATCCCCCGTTTTTGGCCCTTAAAATGTTTATTTCCTTGTTAATCTTGTTAAGACAATAAAAGTTTAATTTTTTAATACAGTATTTTTAATTATATAAGCTTTCGCGATATAATCGCAAAATTAAATATACCAGCTTTCATATACCCTGCGCCATCTATCAATTAAAATACATAGTTTTAAAAATAGCGCCATCTTTGGTCGAAGATATGGTAAAGTATGTTTTAAATTTTCCAACTAATAGATGGCGCTGTATATTTTCGATTTGGATAAGAAGACGAATCTACTTTACCATTATTGGGTTTATATTATTTTAACTAGATGGCGGATAAATGTAGTAAATTGAAATATTTTGATTTTAATTATATTATTTAAAAAGAAAGTTACTTCAAAACATTTATTTGATTTAAAATATGAATGTGGTAAGAAGCTTTCTCAGAGGAGGTAAAACTAGCGGTGGTAGGCAGAGACTCTATGGTGGTAGGCATAGAAATGGACCTTAAATTATGTCGTTCCTATTTAAAAAAAAACGTAGGTAGTGTGTTGGCCCGACTTTTGATATTCGTAAGAAAGAAGGTGACAACCAACTATACACACTTAGTTAAAGTCATATTGACAGAATGAGATGACATTGACAAATTAATTTCAATCAGTCAGCTGTGTTAAAAACGTTTAAAAGTTTATTTAAAATTATATCGAGTCTTAGCGTGAAAGATTGTTAGTTTGAGTTGGTAATAAAAAATGGTCTCCTAGAGAACAAGGTTGTTGATGATAGTAGGCGAATGAATTTGAAAAAATATAGAGATTGATGATTTTTTAAACAAGAAATTGTAGGTATTTTTGAATATAAACATACAAGGTATGATATAAATATTATATTAATCAATTTAATTAATTATTTAAAATGGTTGTAAAGCTTTGACCAAGTTTATTATTTTAATGTGGATTCCTAAGGTTTTACCTCTGATATTTATTTATCTAGTTCAGAATGACGTTATAATTCATATATTTTGTATCATAAGTCGATATCATTATATTAAATATATTAAACCTTAATATTCCTTATTTTTACTATTACATACATATTATTATTATTATTCTTACTATATTTTCTATGCCAGATCATAGATCATAATCATGATTACTATATTGTACCTATATTATTACTGTTTCTCTATTTATTGCGCCATGTAATAGTATTAATAAGAATGAAGGTTTTGCTGTATAAAATTGAATTGTATCTCTGTTTCGACTGTTTATACAAAATGAGCTGATATATTGTTACTGATGATCATTATTATAAATTTATTTGATATTACATTTGGCTTGGTAATACTTAAGAATCTGCATTTATTAAACCTTGGAAATAAAACCCTTTAACCTATAAACTTGGAAATATATATATACTTCTATAAATCTACCGTATTAAACTAGTAAATCTAAATTCCCTAAAGTGACAAAAAGCTAACTGAAACTAATAATCTCAAAACGTTTGATAAAACCTATTGTTAAAACTAATATTCAAATACAATGAATATAAAGCTGACAACCATTATTTGTGTGTTTTTATTACTTAATCTAATTTCCTCTCTCTGGCATCCTTCCTATCTAGAAGCGAATTCAAATAACACAACGTAGGTACCTTTCCGACTAGACTAGATGATCACACCGTTTTTGGCCACATTTGACAACATTGCGAAGTTGTTGAGGTTATGTTTGAATTCGCGAGATTCTTAAAATCTTCTTGGGTTACTGCCGTTTTCATGAGTATGGGATACCCCCACCCCGTGCCCATCACAGTAGTTATTTTTTTTTATATGCACTCGTCTTTTTTATTGTTGGTAGCTTATGCCAGTTTAATTTATTATTTAAAAAAAGAACTTAATTAAATACTCTGACACTGACACTGTCAAATTGAATATTTATTATTGATAATTTACTTTTTAATTATTATAATATCGATATAAAAAGATAACTATGCCAAAAATTAATATCAGATTCTAAAGTAAAAGACATGGTTGTGCATCTTTACTGTACAAAAACTTGTCGTAGTTTAGACTACGCTTGCCAGAGGCGCTAATGTCGCCAAAATTGTTTTTGTCACCGAGACTACCGTTGTCATAATGACAGTTATCATAATAATTTGACTTGAAAGAATAACTTAAATTTGTAAAGTATGTATAACCTTTTAAGTTTGTATTCTGTATTCATTATTATGGTTTATTCTTCTTGTGTACAAAAGTGCAAAAGCAGGGGAGATAGTGTAAAAATCCAGATAAAAAAAATGAACTTTATTTGTAATTAAATTTTAAAGCCAAATAAACTAAGAAAACCATACCTATATAGAGAAGAAATTTAGGTAAGTAAACTTAACCTAAAAACCAAAGCAGTGTTGTGTCAACAATACGATCGTATCAATATCTTCGCGACATGAAATTTGATTACTTAATTATTATTTATTTTTTTAATTCATATTAAAAAATGCAATATGTTTGCGTTTATCAAGTATATATACAGGTATGGTTTACGTTTTTTTCTGAATATAAAATAATGCAAAGAACCCTGGTGTAAGCTTAGCCTCAAAAGGTGAGTAAAAATGGCGGCCTGCCAAAAAGACTTAAGCGCAGATTTTAATCTGCTTTCCCTCCTCCCTTAAGTCCTGTTTAAAAAGTCACTAAAGTTTGCTGACAAAACAACTAGATATAAAGGGAAAGGTAGGTATTGATAAAATGTGCCTACGTCATATTTGAACATATTTAATGACTTCCCTTAAATGCAGTTTGTTTTTTCTTATAAAGGGATTAGCGTCTAAGCCTTAGCAACCACTTCGTGTTCGGTTTTTTTGACAATCGCTTAATGAATCTCTTGCTCGTATACCTAACAAAGCGTATTTACAATCGCCGCTATCTCTGTGGATGACACCCGTCCGGGGGAAAAACTGGTCTGCCCTTTTCATGGGCCACTGACAATAAGACTCTGTTATTATTATTATTATTGCTATGACAGACGTCTGCAGATGCAGACTTAATTTAGCAAACCTCTCGAAAGATATTAGTGAGAAAGCAATAAGAAGGTACCTACCTATAATTACACCAAGGAAAAAAAACAGTAATTACTGTTAACTATTGGGTGGATGATAAATAAATTATTAAAATATTTTGCATTTTTATGTAGGTATGTTGTTAAATACCATATATATTAATTAATTAATTATAATTAGGTACCAAATCACGAAATAATATTTTTTAAATTATTAATAATTAACTGTATCAAAGCAAGACTGTTTCTTAGGGGGTCTTTCCCACTTATATTAACAGTTATAAATAGAATTACCTACCCAATTTTTTTTTACATTTTAGCTATTAATTATAATAGTAGGTAATTATAATGCTATACATAATGTTTAATATCAAATGTTAGTCATGTAAGATTATAAAACGGAATTTTCGCTAGTAGGTGGTATCCAATTAAACTTTTAACTTTCTTTTAAAGTTGATCTGAACTTGACATAACATGAATAACAGCATGCGTGTTGTAGTAGGTAATAATAAGTAATTATACACACAATTGTGATTATACAGTCAAAATTTAATTACCTACCTATATGATACTTAAGTCGATTATAATAGTACATTCTGTAACAAGTTTGGAATACAGCATATTCCGCTCGAGGAAAAATTTGACACACGAGCCGAAGGCGAGTGTGACGGTTTTACGAGAGTGGAATATGCTATTCCAAACGTGTTTCAGACATTATTTTCTCTACGACTACGTAAGAATAGTAACGCTTATAAAATTTTAAACAGAGAAAAGAAACCAAGCAGTTTTTGATTTAAGTTTTTTGTATTGTCAAACCATTTTGTGCCGTCACAATTTTATAATGTAAATTATAATAAATTTAAACAAATGGTATGCCTTAATCTTTATTATAATTAAAAATAGTTATTTACACTAACTAATAAAAAAAATAACATTGTCACAAATACAAAACTAATTTTACAAGTAATCTATGTTAACATCTATTCTTTTTCTACATTTTAAAGGTCTTTTTTTAAACTTTTTGAAAACTTCAAAGCCGGTATAGTAGGTAACTGGTTTATCATTTTAATATCAAATTTATTATAATTTTGATTTAATTATTTGAAAAACAATAAATATAACTAATTTTTTGTGCCTAAACCTTAATTATACAAATGCTATTTTTTTTTAATTAATAAATAATACAGTATTATTTAAATACTTTAAAATTTTTTACGTTTAGTAAACAGCCAGGAGATGTCGTTACTTGTGACCATTCTTAAACAAGAGTAGAAATATTCTCGCACAGTGTTGCAGAAAAACATCCTTTCTCTACGACTACTTAAGAATAGTAACATTCTAGTGTAATTTTTGATCATAGAAAGGATGTTTTTCTGCAATACTGTGCGAGAATATTCCTACTCTTGGTTAAGAATGGTCACAAGTAACGACATCTCCTGACTGTTTACTAAACGTAAAAAATTTAAAAATATTTAAAATTACTGTATTATTTATTAATTAAAAAATAATAGCAGTTGTATAATTAAGGTTTAGGCACAAAAAATTAGTTATATTTATTGTTTTTCAAATATATAAATCAAAATTATAATAAATTTGATATTAAAATGATAAACCAGTTACCTACTATACCGGCTTTGAAGTTTTGACAGATTCAAAAAGT